TGTAGCAGGCTGTCTGTATCACTGAAAACTCTTTAACAGGTTCTCCATCACTGATGGAGCAGAATGTCAGTAGATGGGCTCCTGACCACAGAAGCATGATGCTGTCACAGTGGAGCTGTGATTTACAGCATCCACCGGGCCTAAATCGTACAGTATACTCTCTCCACTTTCAGGGAACTGGCAAGAGTTGTCTGATTCTCCTGTTGAAACTACAATCAAAAATCAAGGTAGAGGTCTAGGGTACATCTTAGTGGAAGAGCTCTTTCATAGCATGCAGGAGGTCCTAGGCTTGAGTTCCAGCACCAGAGAAGGAAAAAGAGAAACCAAGACAGACCTGAAACAGGTCTGACATTAGGTTGTTTTTAGGGAAAAATCATAGATTCCTTTAAATATTTTTGTCCTTGCATTTCCTTGAGCTGTATGGCCAAGGGCTCCCACTACCAGGGCAACTCGCGGGGGTGATGCAACCGCCGACTTTCCAGTGAGAGAATTACTGTGGATGACTAATAGTGTGTGTGCCCATGAGTCTAGCCCTTTCTGTGTGACACAAGGACTGTTCACAATGGACACAAAGGCCACACCATGATATTTTCCCTGGAGGAAAGCAATGACAAGGGGTGTGTCTGTGCGTGTGGAGGAGGCGGAGGCCAGCTGGTAGATGAGCAGGTTTATTCTGTAAGAATCTACTCTCCAGTTCTTTCCTTTCACGGAGTTAGTCTAAAATTGTCCCCTCTAGTTGGGTGCAGGCCAACTCCTGCAAAAGAGCTAAGCACAGGTTGTCATTGGTGAGATGACTGCGTGCTGGGCTGGTCTTGGCTGAGTGAAGCCTGCCAGTTGAGGAGGAGCAGGCTCTTTGGCCTGAGTTCACAAGCCTGGCGCCAGCGTCGTGAAGATGAATGACCTAGCCCAGTCCCAGCTGGAGACTTGCCTGTCTTTTCTCCACTGCTACAGTGTAGGTTCCGGGCCAGTCTGTGTGTGTGTGTGTGTGTGTGTGTGTGTGTGTGTGCCTGCGTGCGTGCACGTGCGTGTGTATGCAGGTGGCTGCCGTGTCTGACAGAGCTACTTTGGGGAGACAGGCAGAGAAGGCATTGCTAATGCATCCAGGTAGGAGAAGCTTAACCCTAAAAGTGGGTAAGAGAAAGGTAAACGAGTGTTCATATTTGATGTCAGAATGCCGTGGTTTTATGCTGTTGCTTCAGAAATGTTTAGAGAGATTTTCTAGATTTTTTGGGGGGGTGACTTAATCATTGAGTAGAGTAAATATAAAATTCCAATTAAATGGTGTCTAAAATTTAAAGCATCAGTCCACAGGCAAAGCGCCTATGTTTCCTTTTTAAATAAATATTTATGATAACATCTAGCATTTTAAAATCAACCAGAACTTAGGCTTGATTCTGTTTAATATTTTATAAGATTGGACATCTTAAAACAAGTCAATAATGTTTATATTTTATAGCAATTCTGTGTTTATTCAAAACCATAATTCTACTATGATGTTAATAGAATGACTTTTTATGGCTTTCTGTTGATTTAAGTGCTAATGATCATGTTTCAAATCAAAATAATATTTTGCAGAGGTGAACACAGACATAAAATATGAAAGAATGATAAATTTACTGATTGTAAAGTGTTTATTTCATGAAAAAAATGTTATTTTTAGGGGTGTGAAAGAATAAGTCATTTTTTTCAAGGGTTTAAGTCAGCTGTTTGTACATTTTTGGAACTGAAACTTGTGCCTCTGGAATTTTTTGGAGCCGCCTGAGCTACCCTACAGCTTGATCTGTGTGCTAGCAAAACTTCATGACCATGTTTTGTGATATGTAATAAATTCAGGGTGCTGTGCTTACGCTTCATTTCCGTTCTAGTCTGGGAGCATCCAGATCCTCCCCCGCACCCACCCCCCACCCACCCACCCCAGCTCACGTGTGAAAGCCGAGTGAAGCCAACTCTCACTGGGTGTGCTTTGTCCTGCGCGTAACAAGCGAACCAGAATCATGATTTCTAAAACTTCTGCTTTTGTATCTGGGAAGAGTGATGCTTTCTCTCCTCCTTTGATGTCTTTTTAACGAAGATGTTGTTACTTATCTCGGGAAGTGGTACCTTGGGCCGCCTCTCAGCCGTCCTCATGATTTGTGTTGCGAACAGATTCCTCTGTCTCATGTCTGACTGCTGTGCTTTTGTTGACTGACTCCCAATCTTGTGTATCACTTGAAGACATGCTGGAGACACGTTTTTGTTTTTATTATGCAATCATGTTACATGTGTATTTCAGTGAAATGTCAACCCATCAACAGAGGATGATGTTAAAAATTATCCAAATAAATAGTTTTGTATTTCTTTTCATCAGAGCTAGTCCAGTCAGTTGAATGGCAGTAAGTAGGACTGTCTGCTGTTTAAACTCAGTGTTCCCGGCCCCTGGTGCCTCGTAACGTGAATTAACACGCATACCATAGTGTACTGTGGGCCAGGGTTATTTTTGGAGGCACCAACAGTCTAAAGCCTTGTCTGATATATAACAGGCTTTGCTTTCCGGTTGATCCAAAATCAGACAATGAGACCCTTGTTTAGCTTATCCTCCCTTGAAATTTGTGCTCTAGGAAACTGAATGAATATATTGCAGACTCATCCGTCCTGCTGGGAACGGGCTGTCTTCATGCCTGCAGCTGGGCTGCCCGGGACCTTCTGCCCACACAGCTCAGAGTTCCCTTCCGGACACTTCCACAGAATGGCACACTCCCTCACTGCAGTGTGCTGGTCTCAGAAAACCTTGGAGAGGGGAAGCGTGCATGGCCGAGCGTGTGCCTGTATGCGAGCACATCTCGTGCCTGTGATCGTAAGGGCAGAAGAGCAAGCAGCAGCTTCATGGCTCACAGCAGGGCATGCTTTCACCCTGGCCCGTGTCTGTCTGTCCCCTACAAGGCCTGACACCTCTAGCCAGAAACTTTACTTCTTGGGCTCCTGGCATCTCTTTCACCCCTCACGGTTCATGAAACAGACAAACCTGCTGTTCTCTGTTCACAGAAGGGTTCAGATCAGACTCTCTTGCTCACAGGGGGCTTCTTAAGAACAAGGCCATTTTTATAAATGACCTCCTGGGAAGTTCCCATGCCATTTTACGTTCTAAGTTAATATACCACTGCTGAATCTGCAGAAGATCATGTTTTAAAAACATTTAATTTTATTTAGTACAAGGTCTTACTACGTAGATTGGCCTCATAGTGATCTGCCTGTGTTCAGCCTCCTAAGAGCTGGGAGTACAGGCATACACCACCATGCCCAGTCTCAATCACCTTCTCTGTGCACCCCGGGGGCAGGACTGGCATGGGGCTGGGGATGGAACCTTGGCCACTGTGTCTGCCTAAGTAGGCGCTTTAATCCGCTGAGCTATTTGGCCAGCCCTTATTTATTTATTTGGTAGAGTCTTACTGCATAGCTCAGATTCCTAGCTCCTGTCTCAGCCTCCCCAGCACTGGGATTACAGGCATGCACCACAATGCCCAGTTTCAGTGGCTGGCATGGCATGCGCTACTGGGGATCGAACCTGGGTCCTTGTACTTGCCAGGCAGGCACTTAGGCCTCCGAGCTATCTCCCCAGCCAGAAGATCGGTTTTGAACATCCTCACACTGTGGCCCCCCCAGCCTGCTGGGTCCAGCGTGACTGCAGCTGCCATCCTCCCCCCTCCCCTGTTCTCCACTACTACCAGCATCTGTGCCACTACATGAAGAGCTCAGGCGGGCTCGTCATACTTTGCCCATGTCCTTGCCACAGATACCCACTCTCTGGAAGGTATTGAGAGAAAAGAGCAGGCGCTCAGGCTCCTTCCTCAAGGCCCTGGCACTGCTAGCAGCTGTTGCTCTGCAAACTTCTCCGGCACTGGGTCTAAGCTGCAAGTGAAGACCTCAGCCGCGTCTCAGCTGCTCTGCCACTTCTCAGCATTGCTGGTAAATGAGGAGGGCTGCCTAGATTCACGCTGCAGACCTGGGTGCAGAGGGCAAGTGCATCTTTCAGAGACCAGTCTTTTGTGGGAAAGGATAAAGTAGCTGTGTAGTCCCTATGCTGTCAGCAGGCTGTTTCTTCATATTGATGGCCAAAGCATCCTAAATCCTCAGAGCTGAGCCTGCACCTTTCCCCATCTGTAGTTTCTCAGGGTTGCACAGCGTCTCCCTAGCAAAGCTGTGCGTTTGAACCATGCAAAGGCTTCTCCCAGGCTCTGCCCCAAAGATCTGGATGGAGCAAGGTAGGCAGGCTGAGAGGCCCTTGGGAAATGCAGAACTTCCATAGGGGGCCAGGCAGATCACCCCGTGGGTCTTGTGCTGCCTGACAGCTCGTGGTCTTCAGAGCATGACTCCTCACTGTGCAGCCTCCAGCTTGCTCCCAGACTGCAGACCAGGCACTATAGGGAACCACCGCAGCCCTCCCGCATAGCAGCCAGGTCTGTGCGACTGTCCGTTGTCCTTTTGTGGTCCGAGTGTGCTGTGATTGCAGTGTGTTGTGTCACTCACTTGTTTCATGACCTTTCAGCAGAGACAGTGACCGTGATGCCCTCTTGATCTGCTTGCTCCTCTGGCCCTTGCCCTTGGGTCCCCTTCTGGTGCAGTGAGGGGTTACTTGTCACCTTCCCTTTAGAACAGCTGGGCAGTGCTCTCTACCCTGTTTAGGCTCAGGGATCTTGCCAAAGACTGTCATTTAGGCAGAGGCCGTGGCTAAACCCTGGGCCATGGCTGACGTCCTAGCACTAGCAAGCACGAGGCACTTCCTACAGCTGGGGTATTGCAGAGGAGCACTCAGGAGCAGGCCTCAAGTGTTCCACTCGAGGACCCTGTGACCCCTGGCCACACGCAGCAACCCAAGGCTGCCTTCGGTTAGTCAGCCGTCAGTTCCTGGATCCCACGGTAGAGATAACTTCTCCACCGCTGAACCAGGCAGGAGCAAATCCAAGCTCCAGGCTGAACCCAGGGCTCGTGTTGTCTAACTTGTTCTGCCATTGTCATTGATCTAGGCAGGATTAAGGACACTGCATGACATTGGGCCAGAAATCCGGCGTGCTATCTCCTGTGATTTGCAAGATGATGAGCCAGAGGAAACAAAAAGAGAAGAAGAAGATGTATTCAAAGTAATTATTCCACGCCCAGCTACACACTGGCCACCCGGAGAGAGTGGGGCAGGCCCCCGGTTGGGGCACTTACTGATCCACAGGAGAGTCTGGAGAATGCAGACCAGCTGCAGGGTTTAGAAGGGCTGGCAGATTGTGCCCCACCCCCAGCTCCCCCCTGGCGCTCTCTGCCCAGCAGTGCTTCTAGGCCAGGCCAGCCCCTCCACCCGGTATCCATTGCCCCGGCTGTCAGTTTCCGAGGAGCTTGGCCACAGCCACTGCCAAGGAGGAGCGTCTTGGGTCCTTCCGGCAACTGTCCACACTTCCTTCCTTCCCTCCCTGGGTCTTAGCCCCCAGGCCAGAGAGCGTGCCTCCTCCCCCCTGCACAGGCCACCTCGACTCCGAGCGACTGGAAGAGAGCACTCCGGTGACAGATGAGCACTTGCTCCCTGGTTCAGGATCCAGTAACCTTCCTCGTGTCTCAGGGGCCACGTGAACCAAATGCCACCCTGACCATTGAGCCAGACTGTGTGTCAGCTTACCTAGAATTTGCTTTTCATGTAGAAAAAGTTGCCTAACATAGTTAGCCTGCATCAAATACTTGTTAAATTACCTGGTGTTGTCTCCCATTATTTTGCAGAGAAATGGTGCCCTGCTTGGAAACCATGTCAATCATGTTAATAGTGATAGGAGAGATTCCCTTCAGCAGATCAATACTACCCACCGTCCCCTGCATGTCCAAAGGCCTTCAATTCCACCTGCAAGTGATACTGAGAAACCGCTGTTTCCTCCAGCAGGAAATTCGGTGTGTCATAACCATCATAACCATAATTCCATAGGAAAGCAAGTTCCCACCTCAACAAATGCCAATCTCAATAATGCCAATATGTCTAAAGCTGCCCATGGAAAGCGACCCAGCATTGGGAACCTTGAGCATGTGTCTGAAAATGGGCATCATTCCTCCCACAAGCATGACCGGGAGCCTCAAAGATGGTCCAGTATTAAAAGGTAACCTTTCAAATGTGCTGGTGCGCTATCAGAGTATCTGCCGGGTCGAAACTGTGGAGAAAGGTGTCTCTGTCCTAGGCTCTGACACATGGAGTTTCCTGTGGGTGTCCCCCAAGTATCCCTGTGAGGGTCCTAAGAGACAGGACCCACCTGCCATCCTACGTCCTGCAATGTGGGGTAACCTCTTAAGAGCAGCACCCACAAAACCCCACCCCTCCAGTTGTGCTGGTACATACTGGGCCAGGGCTTAGCAGATTTCTTCTGGAAAGGGCCAGAGAGCACACGCGTTGACCTTTGAGAACCACACGTTTTCTTTCTTCTTTAAAAAATCTATTTGGCATAGGGTCTTGCTGCCCAGCTCAGACTCATAGTGATCCTCCTGCCTCAGCCTCCCCAGTGCTGGGATTACAGACCTGCACCACCATGCCTGGTCTCGGGGGCTGGCTCAGTGGGTCTGGGGTTCTGGGGCTGGCACAGAATGTGGTACCAGGAATCGAACCCAGTTCCTTGCACTTGCCAGGCAGGCACTTAGCCCGCCAGGCTATCTCCCTAGCCCCACACATTCTCTCTTGCACTACTGAGCTCTGTCCTTGAAGGGTGAAAGCAGCTGAGACTGTACTTAAGTGAACAGGAGCAGGTGTGTCCCCATAAAACCGCATCACAGATGCCCAAATCTGAATACACTCACAGCTGATGGACTTTTTCTCTTCTCTTTCCCCTAATCCCTTTATAAATGTGAAAACTGTCCCTGGATCGTGCGCCATACAGAAGCCCACGGGCAGTGGGCACAGCATAGTTTGCCCACCCCTTCCTCTAGGAAGTTGCCTGATAGCTGCAGTGTTTCATGTTGCTGGAAGTGTCTAATTTTTATCTTCTCCCTCCCTCATTGTGCCTTTCCTGGATAGAACGCGCTATTATGAAACGTACATTAGGTATGTGTTTACTGCCTGTGTTTTTGTGTTAAAAACTGCTGTTTTGTTAGCAACTGGCATCTCTGGGGAGTGAGAACAACTTCATGGAGCCAGGTAGCTCAGATTTTCCTATTCAGGGCTGTGGACTGGGGTTGGAGGTGGTGACTTTGCCTGTGTGCTGTACAGGCAGAATGATTGCTGTGTCAGGGTAGATGAGGGTGAGTCTTTATTTCCAGCACTGGGGCCTGGGCAGGACATGAGGGAGTGGACAGTCCGAGGAAGCTCACGCAGTCGTTCCTTTGAAGAAAGCATCGATGCCGCTGAGGCTGCCAGTTCTCCTGAGACTGGGAGGAGCCAGATTTCAGGGAGATGATAGGACCATTGGGTAGGGCAGCCTTGTGAACTCACATTTTACAAGAGCGCCTCCCCTGTGACTGTCCCCAAAGCTTGCCTGCCCTTCCTGGTCTGATGATGGGAAGTCAGCCATAAGGAGGGCTCTTTGTTTAGGTCCAAGTCACTGGACTGGAGCTAGGGCAGAGGTCAGAAGAGGTGGCCCAGGAGCCAGGGTCCTTCCTCCAGCCAGGACTTCTGACCACTGTGCGGTGCCCCACATCCATCTTCTTGTCTGCCTGCTGTGGGACATCTGTGCCCTGGCTCCAGAGCAAGCAGCTCAGCCTCAGCTTTGTTCAGGGCGTGAAAGAGACCATGCATGCGGAGCGTCCTTGCCAGAGGCTTGGCCATCCCTTCCTGAGGCCAGTGTGCCTGGAGAGATGCCAGGACCTCCTTGGGAGGGCTGCAGGCTGCAGGCTGCTTCCCAGGCTTTCAGACCTCTCTTCCGACTGCAGGTCCGACTCAGGAGATGAGCAACTCCCAACGATTTGCCGAGAAGACCCAGAGATACACGGCTACTTCAGGGACTCCCGCTGCTTAGGGGAGCAGGAGTACTTCAGTAGTGAAGAGTGCTACGAGGAAGACAGCTCTCCCACCTGGAGCAGGTGAGGAGCCCAGGAACCAAGAAGCCATCCTGCCCAGCCTCTCCTGTCCCTGCACTCAGAATTCTCTGCAGAGTCCCAGGAGCCGAGCTTGGCCAGACAGGGGAAGGTGGAGGAGGTGGGAGGAACCGGGCAGCAGGCGAGCAGAGGCCTGGTTCACACCTCTCTGGGCCTTCCAATAAGGGCTCCAGGCTGGGTTAATCCATCCTTTAGACCCCATTTCTGAGACATGAGTTTTGATTTAGCTGATTTGGGGACTCCACCCTGGGTTTCCACTGGCATCGTAGCCTGGCCAGCCCTGTACCTTGGCTAGGTTTCGGGGAACAGCTCCTGCTTCCTGTTCCCTCAGGGGTCTCTCCTAGGGATGAGGGGACAGAGATCAGAGCAGCATCCCCCCACAGAGGTAGCCCTCCCAGTGTCTGTCATTGTAGGAAGAATGTCGGTGGCTAAAATAGGTGCTGTGCTTCAGGACACGGAGTGGTGCAGGGTCCGCTGCCCTCTTCGCGACGGCATCTCTCCCTTTCCCCATAATCAGGGCCCGTGGAAGGGGAGCTGTGCTGAGGCCAGCCCCTGAGCCAGTGTGGCCTTCACGTGTGCTCTCCTCCCTCAAAACCTGACTACCCCAGGCACCGATTCCGGGGCACATGGGCCCTGTGTTTGCCTCTCCAGGGCCTCACCTTAGCTACGTTTTCTGGCCTCAGTCCGCTTTCTCAAGAGCCTGTACTCTACAGAAAGCCCCCAGCTGAGGCATCCCTCAGCACTGCTGTGTGTTCCGCTCTTCCAGCCTGGCTCCTCCCTTCTCTCCCTAACTCCCTATTGGCTGTGATTCTCGGAGATCTCCCAGGAGACGCCTACTACCTCCCTTCTGTGCACTGAGTCTCTGGGCTCCTGGCACGTTCTGAGCTCCTTGGGTGTGGGCACTGGGCTTCATGCATCCTGATGTCCCTGTGCCTGCCTGGCACCTGCAGCAGGTAGACTCTTAGGACAGGGGTTGTGGGAGGAAATAAGCAACGGACCCCATGCAGACAAGGTCCTGTGGGCACCATCGGGCCAGCCCTGGGGAGGCTCCTAGCAGGCACTCGTCATAGGCCTGTAGGAGTCCTGAGCTGCCCTGCTGTGGCCTTTGCTCTCCACCTGGTGTCTTCCGTGACCCAAGGCTGCCTGTCTGCTAGCCCTACTGAGTATGGGGGAGGGACTTGGGTGGGGCTCTCTGCGCAGAAGCCCACATATGCTTCTCTTTATACCTTTCTGTCTTCTAGGCAAAACTACAGCTACTACAACAGGTATCCAGGCAGCACAACCATGGACTTCGAGAGGCCCCGCGGCTACCATCACCCGCAAGGCTACCTGGATGGCGAGGACTCCCCTATTAGCTATGATTCTCGGAGATCTCCCAGGAGACGCCTACTACCTCCCACCCCTCCATGTGAGGCCGGGTATCTTGTTTTGCATGAAGCTTCTTCCCAGGGTGCCTATCCCCCCTGCACCCTAGGGGGACCTGGAGTATTTGTTGGACCGTGTCAGGGGCCACTTGTCACTAAGTCTCCTGGGTGGAGATTGCATTGTGTTTCCTTTTTCTCTCATTCTGGTCCATCGTGATGGAGTTTCTAACACTTTCACATGGCCGCTGGCTCTCTTGGGGAAGAACAAAGCAGTATACAACACTCAAAATCACACACACACACACACGGTCAGCAGGGACTCCCTGTGTGCACAGAATCACTTTTGAGCCCACATTCTAACCATCCTGAGAGGGGAGCAAGATGTCCAGGCACTTTTGTTGTCATCAGTCCCATCCCTCTCCTCGCCCAGCAAGCTAAGCTCCAAGAGGGAAGGCTGGCTCAGGTGGGGATCTACCGGCCTGGCCCAGCCCAAGCTGTGTGAGGAGCATCTGGGAATTCTTAGGGTCTGTGCCTCTTCCCCAGCTCCCACCCAGCCCTGTTCCTCTTCCCCTCAGTTCCTCCCTCCCTGTCCCCTGTGCCCCAGCTAGGCAGGTACCTGTGCTCAGGGGGCAGCCTTAGGCCTTGGCGGTGACCTCTGGGATGGGCACTCCCATTCCTGGACCCTCCAACAGAGAGCTGTCCTGCTTCTCTCTTGCAGCCGTGACTATGGCTTCAGCCCTGGGTCATCCAAGGGGAGGCGGGGCATCAAGTGGCCCCTGCTAGTTCCAGGCACTGCTTTAAATTTGAATGTGCAGGCATTTGGATGCTGGTTTCTGAGTTTCTGAGTAATGAAGCTTTAATTTTAAGCAGGACTGTAATCAGTAACCAAAGATGGCTGAGACACAGCGGCTCCCTCCTGCTCAGCAGAGCACTCTGGGTGCCGCCTGGAGCCCTGCGCCTCACCACAGCTGTCATGACCTGCTGGGGAGTGTAAACAGCCCCATTTCCATGGTTAATATTTAATTGTGCAGCCCCAAGCACATGCTGCCGAATGAAGTTGAACTGTATGTCATAAATACTAGAAGTATGCAGGGGGCAGGGGACTGGCAGAGGCCCCTTGCCCTGTGGTGCCCACTGCATACCTCAGCCCTGTGCCTTTACCTCTTCACCTGTCCACACCACCCAAGGGACACATGCATGCCCCTCCCAGAGACAGTCCAGCCCCAGTGCCAAGAGCCTGGCCTGGCAGGAACAGCGCCCTCTCCCTCCTGGAGGTGGAGAGCTTTGCTCTCAGTTCAGACCTCAGGCCGGGACGACCCTGAACTTCTCTGGCTGTGTTCTCTTTCGACCTCCTTCTCCAGAGTTCTGTGCAGCACACACCAGACAAGGGGATGTGAGGACCAGTTTGGACCCAGAGAGGCACTGCATGCATCTTGTCCCACTCTGACCCAGGTCCTGAGGTTGTGCCAGTGCCTGTCCTCTGCGACACCGTTAAACGAGGCTTTCGGATGAAGGCAGCTGTGTGCCGCATGGGCAGCTCAACTAAGAGGTTCCAGAAGCCCCTCTGTGGTGCTGGGCCTGAGATGTTACTGCCCACCTTGGTCAGTCCTCCTTACTTGGCGCTGGCCAGCCATGGGCTTAGACCATTCTCTGCTACAGGCCCTGGTTTCTAGAGCTTCATGTGCAATCCCAGGAGGCCTCCCAAGGCCAGCCACTGGGGTTTCCCTGTGCAGGAATCAGGGGTCCTCCCCAACTGCAGTGTGCTCACTGCCTGCTGAGCTGGTTAGGTGCAGGCAGAACCCTTTCCTTTAAGAGGCAGAAACCCAGGGTCCCAGACACATGTGCTGTCTAGAAGGCAGGCACAGGGCCATGAGGGATGTCTGGGATTTGAGGGTCACTCATGTGTTTGTTCCTGTGACACACCCAGTCCTAGTTTCTGGTGTCCTCTCACCTGTCTGACAACAGGCAAACACTTAAAAGTAATCAACTTGTACTTTTAACAAAGATCTCTTGAGTTTGGCTGCTTCCCTCCTTTTCCCCCAAAGATGGTTTGAAGTTCACTACATAATCCTTTTTCTCAGATGCACAGGGGCTGGGGCTATAGCTCACTGACATGCATCTGACAGACAAGTGAAGGGCCCAAGTTCAGTCCCCAGTACTGCAAAAAAAGAAAAAAAGAAAAATCAGTCTGAAGTATTTTGGACTGGAGATATAGCTCAGTGGCACAGCACCTGCCTGGCAAGCATGAGGTCATGAGTTTGATTCCCAGCACCAACCCCCGCCCCATAAACTGGCTCAGATGCACAGCTCAAGTCTGCCTGGGGGCCAGGTGGGGCTCACCGCTGGAGGCTGGATCCCAACAATGTCTACTCCACTGAGCACAATGTGCTTTATTCCGCAGCCCACCGGAGGTCCTCCTTCAACTTCGAGTGTCTGCGCCGGCAGAGCAGCCAGGAGGAGACCCCACCGTCCCCCACCCTGCCACACCACACCGCCCTGCCCCTGCATCTGATGCAGCAGCAGGTACAGTCCCTCCCGGCCTTGCCCCTGCCTCCGCCACACCTGGGCCGTGCCCTTCCCCAGCACAGGAGGGTAGGATGAGCCAGCATCTGAATCCAGTGGCCCACATCTCTTCTCAGTGGTCAAGATGGCCTGGTAGGTCCCAGCCCCGAGAAGATGCAGCCGCCCGTCAGGTCCCCAGTGTTCGGTGCTGCTCTCTGTTTGCCCCAAGAAAAGGTTCCCCACTTAAGACTCCTTCAAGCCCTCTGCAGATGGACCCTGTGATCCAGGGGTCGGCGGGCCTCCCTTGTGGCCCAGGGGGACCACCGCCCACAGGAAGGTAGCCTAGCAAGAGGCCGCCCACAGTGTACACTCCACTGACCAGGGCTCCACTCAAGCACACAAAGGCGCTTCTTTTTCTTTCTGAAAATTTCTCACCGGCCTTGCAGCCCATTGCATGTGTGTGTGTTGGGGGGGTGCAGAGCTGGCAAGGGAGGGTCCAGTGTCCCTGGGGCCACAGTCAGGGCTCTGCAAAGTTCTCAGCCAGGGCCCCGAACCAGTGAACACTCACCACTTCAGATTTCTATTCCACTCAGACCAGGCCCAGATCTTGTCTGTCCCAAATGCCCTCCGCCCTGGGTGTCGCTGACTTCCTGTTTGGCCAAGGGCAGATGGGCCTCGTAGCAGACCTGCTGTGGTGGAATCATGAGGGGCCGTCTGTGCCTCGTGTCTGAGGACAGATGGGAGGAGGGCGATAGAGTGAGCTGATGTTCTCCCTGCAAGCTGGGACTGTGGTTCTCCGAGTCTCCTTCACTTTTACACCCCCAGTGACTTGGGTGCTTTGTTCACGCCCCACAGCTTGCTGTTCTTCCTCTTTCTGAAGCAGTTGCAGGACTGAGAAGAGTCCTGGGCACAGGTGTAGAAAATGCACTATGGACCCAGGGGAAGGAAGACAGCACTAGGTGCCAGCGTGCATCCTCCGGAGCCCTCTGGCAGGCTGCACTGCAAGGCTGTATCTGCGCCTGGTCTGTTTAGAAGCGTGAGGGCCAGCCCTCTCACGTTTCCTTCCCCTCTACCTCTCTCTCCCTAGATCATGGCGGTCGCAGGCCTCGATTCAAGTAAAGCCCCAAAGTACTCGCCGAGCCACTCAACCCGGTCGTGGGCCACCCCTCCAGCCACCCCTCCGTATCGGGACTGGACACCGTGCTATACCCCTCTGATCCAGGTGGAGCGGTCAGAGTCCTTGGACCAGGTCAATGGCAGCCTGCCATCCCTGCACCGCAGCTCCTGGTACACGGACGAACCTGACATCTCCTATCGGACTTTCACACCAGCCAGCCTGACTGTCCCCAGCAGCTACCGTAACAAAAACAGTGACAAACAGAGGAGTGCAGACAGCTTGGTAGAGGCAGTGAGTATAGTTCCCAGCCATGGGAGGGTAGGCCCCATGAACAGCAGAGGCTAGAGGTGGTCACTTGGCAGGACAAGGGGGTATCCTTAGGTGACAGGCCCCAGAGCCCCACCACGCAGACCTGATAGCCCTAGTAGCAGGAAGTGTCCAGCCACATCTTGCGCATGAGCTGCCCTGCCCTGCCCTGCCCTGCACGCTTCCTGTCCCTAGCACCACTCTAGACACATCTTCCCAGTGGGCATCACTCTTGGACCATGAGCACCTGTCCAGCTCTGTGATATTTTCAGAGCTGAAACCATTTACATTTGGTTGTCATGGTAACATCCAGTAAGCACCGTGAGGTGGAGTCCCTACAGCACGTCACGCAGATCGGAGTGGGAGCAGGTCTTTCCGCCACTCCCCTCTAGCCTCATAATGCAGGCCTGCCTTCGCTCCTCTTTCTCACGCAGGTCCTGATATCCGAAGGCTTAGGACGCTATGCAAGGGACCCCAAATTTGTGTCAGCGACCAAACATGAAATCGCTGATGCCTGTGACCTAACCATTGATGAGATGGAGAGTGCAGCCAGCACCCTGCTCAACGGGAGCACGTGTCCTCGAGCCAACGGGGACCTGGGCCTTGTCTCTCCCCAGCAGGACTACGAGCTCCAGGACTTTGGGCCTGGCTACAGCGATGAGGAGCCGGACCCTGGGAGGGATGAGGAGGACCTGGCCGATGAAATGATCTGTATTACCACCTTGTAGCCCCATCAAGGGGCAGACTGGCTCTGGCCTCAGGTGGGGCGCCGGAGGGCCAGGGATAAAGTGCCTCATAGTTAGGAAAGTTTAGGCACTAGTTGGGAGAAAAATATTCAATTAGACTTCTGTACAAGTGATGTCATGCCTCAAGGAAGCCATAAACCTGGTAGGAGCAGGTTCCAGGCAGCTGCGCCAGGCAGGGCACTGTGCACTCAGCCTGGCTGCAGCAGACTGCAGGTCCAGGCCTCGAGACAGGATGAGATCAGACCAGCCCCACTCGACACACAGACGGGTACCATGCCCAGGGCACCCACCCATGCCTGCCCAGAGGCACGGTGGGGGAAGATTAAAGGTGATGACGATCACCACACCCGTGTCATTACCTCAGCCGCTGGTCTAGCCTATCAGCATATCCATTTTTAAACCCCTTTCCCAAAACACACTGCTTCCTGGTTCCGGTTCTGCTCTTCTGCAGCAGCCAAGTGTGTCAGAACCCCGCCACCACCTGCGGTCATCATGAGAGAGGCGTGGGACCTGACAGATAAGGTTTTCTGTTACGTGGCACCAGTTTACGTGAGAGAATGTCACTCCCACGGGATTGGTCAGTCCTGACTGTCGTGCAGAAGGGCAAATATAAACTGGAAAAATAATGCACTTGCAACCAGGTAAACTTAGATATGCTAGTTTAAAAATTAGAGATTTACTAACTGTACATGACTTGTAATATACAATTTGTATTTGTAAAGAGATGGTCTATATTTTGTAATTATCGTACCGTATTTGAACTGCAGCAATATCCATGGGTCCTAACAATTGTAGATCCCCACTGAAATCTAGAAATGATTAGTATTTTTGCGGGGGCTATACGAAGTAGAAGAAATAGAGGCAGTTCTCATTCAGTGAAAATCCTCTGGGGGTAAAATTTTGAGTTCGAAAGAACTTGACATTACAGAAATTTTTCTAAAATATTTTGAGTCACTATAAACTTATCTTTACATAAGATATCCAAGAAAACTCTTTGCAGTCTTTTCTTTGGGCAGGAGTTCTGATTTTGATATTGTACCTTTTATCCACCATGGGTTGCAAATGTCTTTTGTTTGGCTTTTTTAGTAACCATCCAGTAAGTTAGTTTACAGAGTAGGTCAAGCTGGCGACTCGCCCCTGGGTCACCCTTAGGTCTGGTTTCCCCCAGCTGCCCACACCAGCTGTTTTCTGCGTCTCTGCCGTGGAAATAACTGCACCGATGAACACAGCGCATGCGTGCCTGTGCCCAGGCCCTGCTCGTGCCGTTTGTCTTAATAAGGGGATCGGGGCAGGGAACGGAAGGAGCGCCGCGGTGACCTATGGGGTCGGAATGTTGGGGTCTGCACAGATCGTACTGTGGCCTTTTACACATCATTGTTGTGCTCTGTGTTCTATTTGAGGGCTTTTATATGCAACTGAAAGAGGGCTGACGTCTTGATGAGAATGCACTCACTCCAGCTGTATGTCTCGGGCAAACCCACTTTGGGATCCTTACAACTGTCAAGGTTCCTTGCTGTTAACAGTCATGCTGCCTCCGTCATGTTACCTTGGCAGGGATCCGCTGCAATCGAAAAGACAGGTAGCAATTTTGGTTCTGAATTTTTAACTAATACACAGACAACCTGTCAATTTTTTTCTTTTCTTTTTTTTTTCTTTTTTTTTTTTTTTTTGTAAATAATGACACTTTGTTATAAAGACCTCACAAACCTCTTCGTAAGACATTCTTAAATCCAGATCCAGGCAAAAACACTTCAAGGTTTGTAAATGACTATTTCCTGACATAAAGCCTTTTTTATTAAAATGAAAAATGTTCTTGAGAATAAAACTGTGTAATTTCATTGTATCTGGGAGCTCTCGTTGCACAGGGCTGGCTCCGCCAGTGAGAGCTTCGGAGGAGCAGGTGCTCCCGAGGGCAGCTCTGGAATCAGGTAGCTTTGTCTCGTCCTCGGGCTCCCTCCACGCCAGAGGTAACCTAGTGCCAGCTGCAGAGAGCACCACTTCTCCTAAAGGGCTAAACCACTGTCACCATTTTCTTAGACGACGTGTCTGTTGGGTCTTGGTCTTACTGTGTAGCAGGCCAGAGTCGCCGTCCCAGGACTGTGTGTTCTAGAACAGGTGACGCCCTCATCCCACACCAGTGAAGGCTGGCGTTTTACAGGCTGTGCCACTTGCCAGTGTCTGTCTGCTTTCAGCCTGGTTCAGTCTCTCGTCTAATATTAAATTTGTCTTTGTAAGAAAAATTCAAAGTTGTAGAGTATGGTTCTTTCCCTTTGTCTTAGGGAAGTTTCAGGGTTAAATAGCTCTTACTTTTTTGGTTTACCCTTTCCCCCTGCAAAATAATTCTGTGTCCATAGGAGTAGAAGCAATTTCCGTAAAATACCTTTAATAACAACATAGAGTAAAAAAATGGCTGTGACTTAACTGTCCATGAACAGGAAAGACCTAGTTAAGAACCGACACTGCTCAGGGTGTGGATGTCCACTCAGACACGTGGCACATCCCAGCTCTTGTGTACGTAGGACCTGGTGCAGGCTGGAGGGGTGGGGTTGGGGGGGCAGCAGAAACATCCGGGAACTTGGTATGGGCACTGCCTGCCAAGCAAGATGGTAGCTGGAAGAGCCCGCTGGATTGTGATTTCGCTCTAGAACGCAGTCTGAATAGTTCATCTCACATGATGTATTTCTTACAGTCTGAAATGTCCTTGCAACTGCATTTTTCACAGGTTTTTGCTTCCAGGATGGACAGCTGACTTTTTTGTAAAAATGAGTTAGACTCTGTGCTGATATTTCGCACGAAATGTGCCCCAACTCCTTTGCTGGTAGCCCAATCAAAAGCTGACTCTGTTCAGCTTTCATTTGTTTGAAAGTTGTTTCTCCTCCTCTCTTGGGGAGAGAATAAGGCCCAGACCTGGGCCTAGCTCCCAACATCAGGACAGAATTAGGAGGGTGATCTGAAGACATCTTGGGGGTGCATGTGGGTTGTTTTCTTCTGATTTTTAAGAGAAAGAAATCTGTGTAACAGATCTGACATCATGTTATTTTGTCAATGGAAATATGGGGAAAAAAAAAGCTTTGGGGAGCAGGATGTGGTTTGGGTGAAGAATTTATTTGAATTTATGAAAATGACTGCCACATCCCGCCCTGGACGTGGAAAGTTCCCATTCCTGGTTAGGCTGATGAAGGGCCCTGTTCTCCTGTGGTGGCATGTGAGCAGAGTTCTTTGACAGGACAGGACTCCTCAGAGCTAGGCACGTACACTGCTTTCTGTTAGGCCCTTCCAACTACACTTTTACAAAACACTGGCTCCTGCCTCATAGATATCACAGGCCCTGTGCCAAGGGGCTTTGCTAAAAAGTTTGCCAGATTCCCCACAAGACCGGCTCGCAGGGCCAGTGTGCCCCACCTGCAAGCCCCAGAGGATGAAGGGCTGTGGCTGGCAGCTGTGGGCCAGGCGGGGATTGGCAAGGGCCTCTCCAGGAGAAATCCCTTGACAGATTAGAAATACCACATAGGACAAGGAAAAAGTAAGATGCAGGTGAGATTATGAAAGAGCTGCCCACAGTTTGAAAAGAGGAAAAAAGTCAGGCATGGTGGTGCACACTTGTGATCTCACCTATTCAAGAGGTGCGAGTTCAAGACCAGCCTGGGAACCTTAGTGAGACCCTGCCTCAAAGTAAAAAATTATGATACAGTTTTCTTTTTTCTACCTTTCTGGAAGGATTTTTTTTCAGAAACTCTCAAGTTTTTCTCCTTTTTCTGGGCCCAGCATGGCAGGTTTCCAGGTAGCAACTGTTTTCTTCCCTGCTATAGATGGTAGCTTTGCTATCTTGAGAAAAATCAGTCCAAGACACATTAGTTGTTACTCCCTGGTAGAACAATGGATAGGGCACCCCAGGGAACAAGTTACTGGATTACATTACTGAGTTACAAGGAATTTAAAGATCCAAGAGCTGCTGCACATGGTACTTGCATCTTTTTTCCTCCTGAAAGCTTGAATCTTCTCCACTCTATTGTTCTCTGACCTAGTTGCACTGAAATGCTTTTATCGCTCTCTCAGCACAGACAAGGACTGTTCCCACAGTCGTGCAGAGAAGAAGAATCTACCAGCACTGTCCCTAAGAAGCAGCGGCAGCCGTTGGGCCGCTTCCCAGGGCCCAAGAGGGTCTCCCGGGGGCCTCTGCTTCACGGTGAAGCCCGGCCCTCGTACAAGGGGCTGGCTCTAGACTTCTGCCAGTCCTGGTAGCAGGAAGACCTTCTAAAATGTTAACTTCTGAATGCTTTGGTAATGAGGCCCAAGTCGCTTCCCTCCTTGAGCAAGGGCGCGAAGGCTCCAGTGAGACCATATTGCATAAGAAGCAGAGCATCAAAGTTGAGGCCGGAAGCCTCTTGGTCACCCAGCAGAGCTCTGGACACACCTCACCCTGAGAGTGAAGTGCAGATGGGAGAGAAAGGGAAGCCATGTGCCCTCTCTCCTGGTAGCTTCCCTCCCCCACCCCCACCCCGGAACTGTGTGCCGGCCTGCACCTAGCTGACTGGTATGATCCTTGGCTTAAGCTTAAACCTTGTAGCTCCCTGTGCAGGGAACCCAGCTTGGATGCCACAGCACAGGGCCCTGTGTAGAGCACCTGCCCTGAGGGGGACTGCAGAACCATTGCAACCAAGGCAGCAGGACACTAGGTAGGCACAGGCCTGTGCCCATGAGAGCGGCCTATGTTATCTCTCCTCCTCTATCAGCTCCACATCCCCTTTGTTCCTGGAGCAGGTAGGGACCAGGGGCCTGGCCTGAATGCTGGCCTCCCTCACAGGGCCAACAGGACAGCACTGGGGAAAGTGAATGTGACTCACTGCCTACAACTGGGCACCTGCCTTGCGACAACTGCTAGTGCTCAGCCATGAAGTAGGGTCTCCTGGGTCCTGGAGTCCTGGATAGTTTCAGGAAAGAGCATCCAGAGCGAGGGCTGTGTCGGTCAGTCCTCCTGGCTTGCCCGGGGCTTCTCTGGTCAGCAGCAGCAGGGGCTGCATTAGCGCTGGGTGGCCAGTGTCCTGGGCTTATAGACAGGCACGTCCTGTTCCCACAGTGCAGGTAGCCCCTTAATCATGTCGGCCGCCTTCTCTGCGATCATGATGGTGGGGGCGTTCAGGTTGCCACTGACCACGCTGGGCATGATAGAGGCGTCCACAACCCTGAGGTTCTCCACCCCAAGGACCCGGGTCTCGGGGTCCACCACAGCGGTGGGATCAGAGGGCTGGCCCATCTTGCAGGTGCATGAGGGGTGGTAGGCACTGTCAGCTTTGGCCCGCACGAAGGCGTCTATCTCCTTATCTGACTGCACGTGGCTTCCTGGCTGGAGCTCCTCGCCCCGGAAGGGAGCCAGTGCTTCCTGTGCAAAGATTTCTCTGGACAGCTTCACACACTGACGGAAGTCCTCAATATCAGTTTCTGTGGAGAAGAGACAAAGGAATCCCTTCTCTTCATGTGCAAGACTCAAATGTCACAGGATGGAGGGGCACAACAAGCTAGGAGAGATGATGGAGCCACCAGGTGCGTGCCCCCGGCTGGTAGCTGGTGAACATCCTAGAGCTATACCAGCAAGCCCTGGAGGCCTAGGTTTCAGTTGGGGACCTGACGTCACTATGATCCAGGGATAAGAACATGTCCCATCCACCAATGCCCACATATCATCACAGAGCAAAGCCTGCCCCACAGGGAGGGCTGCCTGTAGAGGCACTGGCAGTGTCGTCTGCTTTAGGGCGAGTGCAGTGTACCCGAGCACACATGTGCCCGGGCCTGGTGCTTGCACCTCCAGCGGCCTCTGCTGAGAACTTTCCTCTCCTGCTGTGTAAAGGGAGGCCCTGGGGTTGCTCCATGCATGGCTCAGGCTGGCGGGCACAAGGAAAGGGAGCTCTGGGGTGAGGAGAAGGCGCCCCACAAAGGCCCCTCACGCAAGCCAGGCGCAGGGGAGACAAAGCTGGGACGCGGTTACCTGTTGACAGGTAGTTGGGTTGGATCACAGGGTGCTCCTGGGGGTTGGCACTTCTCAGTTTGAGCCAGCCCACACTCGTGCCCCGCATGGTCCCCACATGCACCTAAGAAAGCCCAGGGGACACAGTGACATCCACAGGGACCTCCATCAACCTCAGCCCAGTGGGTTGGAGGGGTCTCTGCTGTCCTGGGTGGGGTCAGAGTCGGTGCAGAGCAGAGATAGTGAAGCATGTGCCTGCCTCATACACATTTCCAGTTCAAACCCACGTCAGTGAGCCTTGCCTCCCTCCCACCTTGACATTCCACTGTCCCGAACTTTCAGGATGGCGCTGCCAGGGCTGAGACAGCCTTACTCATCTGCTGCTGGTGTCTGGGTCCTAGAGCCTTGCCCTGAGCTGCTGCAGATCCTACTCCTTCACAGTCTGTGGACCACTGTGCTCCAGAACTCCCTCCTTGAGGAAGACTCCAGGCCTCGCTTCCTCACAGCACACACTGGAGGGGGAGCATGGAAGGCTCTGGCACAGTGGGAAGGACACAGTTCCCCAGGAAGATTGGGACTCCAATGCTCACCTGGTAAGCCTCCTGCTGGGTGGGGGTTCGCCCATGGTCAATCACTTGGGAAGGCAGGAAGTGGAACTGTATGTCTGGATGGGGGACCCCGGGCTGGCTGCGGATGAACCCACCCGTTTCCAGGTGGGCAGTGGCTCCATCCCCTGTGGATGTAAAGAGGGCAAGGCCACAGGGCCAGTCAGGGTGTGGAAGGCTGGCGGCTATTCCTGCCTCCCTCCACTCTCTCTGCGCAGCTCCTCTTTGGTGCCTGACCCCAGGCCCTGTCCATAGCTTTGCTCACCCAGCACCATAGCTTTCAATATCAACCACATGCCAAACGAAGGACTGACACACTGCCACCTGTGCCTGCCCACTGGCCATGCCCACCAGCTAGCAGAGCTTGTGTGTGCAGGGGGTAGCAGGGAAGATGTGAGTGGGCCAAATATAAGCAAGATCTGCAGCTCAGCCACAGGGGCTCCCGTGTCTTTCCTCTGGGTCCTGAACTCTACGTGGGACTCTTCGCTCACACCTGCAAGAAGAGCAGCACCTAGCCCTAGGGGAGTCTCATTTTGACAGGCGCTGCTGCTTCTGGTCCTCATACCAGCCCAGCAGGTGGAAGGAACACTGGATACCCATTTTCCAGATGGGAAAACAGACTGGGGCCCAAGGTAAGTGGCACAGTTCAACTTCAAAACTAGTAATTTGAAGCCAGAGCCCTCACTCAGCTCCCCAAGAGACAGACCACGATACCTACAGACAGTACCTGGCAGTGTCACCGAGGAGCCCACCTGTGAATCTCCAGAGCCACTCCAGCCCGATGCAGAGCTTCCGCAGGGGCTTCTGGGCGGAGTGGAGGGTGATGGGCTGGGTGCACGCCTGCTGGATGTACACCTCCAGGTGGTCCTGCAGGTTCTGGCCAACTCCTGAAACAGGAAGGCATGCTGAAGGGAAATGGCCACCACCAGGGGCTTCAATGGCTTCTCAGTGTGTCTGTGGGTTTAAAAAACTCCCCTGTCCACTTATCTTCCAGACTAGTGCCAGCTGGGTCTCTGGGACTCAGCTGTCCCTTCAGGAGGAGCTAAGTTGCAGCACCCTGTCCCTGCCAAGTCCAGCCCTTTCCCATGCCGCCCCAGCCGTCTGCCCTGTCACTGTGGGAAAGGCTGGCCAGAGGAGGAGGGCAAAGGCGACATACAGACTCGGTGTCCAGTGGGGTCCAGGGCGCCCACAGACCATGGAAAGATGTGGCAGCTCCCGGCAGCAAACTTGTCCCCACCCCCACCCCACGCTAATAAAACACAGCGTGCTGTTTCTTGCTGCAGAAGTGGACTCCGGGCAGCCGCGAGGGAGGTGCTCACCAGGCAGGTGGCACACCACAGGGATGCCCAGTTTCCTGAGATCGTCTGCATTCCCCACACCGGAGAGCAGGAGCAGCTGCGGAGAGTTGATGGCGCCCCCACTCAAGATCACCTCCTTGTTGGCATAAACCTGGAAAGCAGCAGCGCCCGGCCTGTTGTACCGGCTGAGGAGTCAGCTGTTCCACAAGCTAGCGGACCCGCCGGCACCGGCACCACCAGATCATGGCCTTGAGGTGTGGTCCCACACAGAGCACCGGGAATACAGAAAGCCACCCACTGCCCAGGAGGCGGCGGTGGCTCGCCCTGCAGCCACGTTCATGGTGAGCTCAACACCAAGGCTGAGCCGTGCTCTGAGACGTCTACAGTAGCCAGGTGGTAGCGGGGGCCTTAAGAAACAGTGAGCGTGGACTTAAATGAGCTTGATGAAGGTAGGCATGAAGTGAGCCCTCAAAAAGAGCCCTAAAAGCAAGCAATGCAACAGATCAACCTCTGGGCATGCAAATCGATCTCTGACACGCTACTGAGCAGCGAACATGGGTGGTCGCATCTGCTACAGTCTACATTTATGGGTTTTGGAACCTCTAGTAGAAGCCTATACATTTCTGTCAGGTCAACACCCTGAAAGGGCGTGGAAGATAACAGGAGACCACCCTGAAGTAAGTGCCACAGGCTCGTGGGCACGTGTGCCAGTGTACCTGTCAGCTCTGCTGCTAGCGTGCTGGGGGACTTGCTCACCTCCGCTCGCTGCTTCCCGTGAGGCGGCAGGCACAGTCCACCACCCCTGCCACCAGCCACTCACTCACCAAGGGATGAGGCGTGCAGCTGGGAGCAGGGCATGACCTCCCACCTTGAGTCCCACGGCCCCTCACTGCAGGGCCCTCGCTGGAGCCCACTCACCTTGTGGCTCTGGCCATTTTTGAGGTACTCCACGCCCACTGCTTGGGTGCCCTCAAACAGAACCCTGCTCACCAGCGTGTGGGCCTCAGCCTGGAGGTTGGGGCGGCTCAGGGCTGGGTGCAGGTAGGCACAGGCCGAGCTCCAGCGCTTGCCTGCAGGACACAGCAAGGTCAGAAACAGCCCCTGCCCCTCCCTGGGCGAGAAGAGGCAGCAGGAGAAAGAGCCGCTGGCCTTGCCTCTGCCGGAACAAGCCCTGCTTCAAACTAGGAGACAGACCTGAAGCCCCCACCCTTCTCAAGTCCAGGCTGAGCCAGGGGCCGCTGGGCACAGGTGGAAACCATCCTTCCCCGTGCAGGGTGACGCCGAGACCAGCAGCAGTGGACAGAAGAGAGCAAGCTGTGAAGACCGGCCCAGTCCTGGCCACGGCCTGTTCTGTGAGCACGTCCCTGGTTCCCTCTGCGTCAGTCTTCCCCTCCATAAAAGGGGGCCTATGGCCCAACCACCAAGACAAGGGAAAGCCAGAGAAATGGGCAGGACAGCCATGAGCTCATGGCTACCTCTCTGTGCCTCACTTTCCCCATCTGCATGGCTATTTGCACCAAAGGCAAATAGCCTCTCACAGCTCTGGCTGCACTCTGGGGCATCTGAGGGTGCAGTAGCTGCCCTCCTCAAGGCACCCACCAGCCTGCTTGTGCCCTTGTCCATCCCAGCCAGCCGCCCACCTTCGTGGATGGTCCTGTCCATCCAGCCGAAGCCCTCCTGCTGGAAGCCGTTCATGTCCTCGGTGAGCGGGTAGCCAGCCTGCTGTGCCGCCTGCAGGAAGGCGCGGTGCAGCGGGTGCTCTCTGTGGCCCCGGGACACGCGCAGCGGGCCCTCGCCGCCGCGGTAGGTGCCTGCACCCAGCTCGTGCCCCTGCGCGCGCCGGAAGTAGGGCAAGCAGTGGCGGTAGTCCCAGCCGTGCGCACCCTGGCGCTGCCAGCGCTCGTAGTCCTCGGCGTGCCCGCGCACGTACACCATGGCGTTCAGTGACGACGAACCGCCCCACACGCGGCCACGTGGCCAGTACAGCACGCGGCCGTCCAGCCCCGCCTGCGGCTCGGTGTGGTAGCACCAGTTGTACCTGTCGTCGCACAGGTTGGCTACGAGCGCCGCGGGCATGTGGATCTTCCACAGGAGGCGCTTGCTCCCTGCGCGCAGGTCCTTGGGCCCGGCCTCCAGCAGCAGCACCCGCTCGGCCGGGTCCTCTGACAGCCGGCTGGCCAGCACGCAGCCCGCTGAGCCCGCACCCACCACCACGTAGCTGTACTCGGTGGCGGCAGCGGCGCTGGCCAGAGCGCGGCTGCCCAGGTGCCCCGGCCAGCAGCCACGGAGGATGCGCCACATACTGCGCTCCACGTGCTCCCCTCCGTGATGGGGAGTGGGCCGTTCTGCTGCTCCTGGAATAGAGAAAGAGGCCGTGAGAACCCCAGCTCCGGCCCAGTGTGGGCACAAGCCTGTAATCCCAACTACTGGACAGTCTGAGGCAGGAGCGGCTAAATTCAAAGCCAGGCTGCACAAAAAAAAAAAAAAAAAAAAAAAACGGGTGGAGATTCTGGGCCTGGAGCTGCACACCTGGAGGCCAAGGCAGGAGAATCTCCAGTTAGATGCCAGCCTGGAATGCAGAGTAAGTTCAAGACCAGCCTGAACTATTTAGTGAAACCCTGCCTCAAACAAATGGGCAGGAGCGGGGAACTGAGGTCGATGCCTGGGAGCTAGGAGGAGGTCAGGCTGGCCAAGCACAGACTTCTCAGTGCTGGGCCACCTACGCCAGCACCCACTTATTAGGCCTGGAGACACGTCCTTCCACGTGCAAGCCCATCTGCCCATTAACCCGGAGGCTGGAGGACTTCCTGCTGTCAAGACAAGAGAGAAGCGATTTCCGGGCAGAGGAAGAGAGGGGGCTCCACTCCTTCACTCGTGACAGATGCTGCAGACAACAGGAGCTGGGTGCTTTGCTTTACACTATCAGCGCACAACAGAAAGAAAAGTGAAAAAAAAAAAAAAAAAAAAGTCTTTCTCCTCTATCAATGCAAAGAACAAAAAGAGAAGAAAGAAAATAAATATAGTTTTAGAAACATGATCTGGAGCTAGGGGAGACAGACGAGACTTGAGTACAGTGATACCTCCTGGATACTCGTGGTTAAAAGCTCCACAGACGAGGACACCTGATGATTTTATACAGTGGAGTAGTAGTACGCAGCCATAAAGGATACACTTGAGACTTTTATAGATAAATGAATGCAATTTGACCATAGTTTTATTTTATTTTATGAATTTATTTTATTTTACAGTCCTGGGGATCAAACATGGGACCTTGCACTTGCCAGGCAGGCACTTATGCTACTGAGCTGTATCCCCAGCACTGGCTACAATCTGAGACTATAGTCTTTGGTGAAATAAATCAAACTCACATGTAAACATGGTATTGTCTCCCTGGTGTGAGAGACTGAAAGAGTAAATAAGGCCTAAAATATGCAACAGATGGGCCGGTGAGATGGCTCAGTGGTCTAAAGCAACTACTTGGAACAAGCTTGGCAAAGCACAGGGACCGCGGTTCGATCCCCCAGCACCACATGCCAGCCCGCCCCACCCCCTGTGTGGGCTGAGCTGGCCACACACACACACACACACACACACAAATAAATAAGATTAAAATTTTTTTTAAAAAGTA